TTTGTCTAAGGTTTTAGAGCAGAAAAAATCACATAAATTCTTAATGCCATGCACGGAATAAACGACTATAGCGATACCGTAATTTTCATTCTTTTCTTTCCTTTTACTATCTGTCAATCAATACTAACGTCTAACGACTACACGACGGCCCATCACTAGGAGAAACCATAATATCATGAGCATCAATTGATGATGCAATGGCCGCATTATTTCTTGATGGAATCTGAATCATTAAATATTTCACACAATCGATACTTTTCCTATACTGTAAGAAATCTGCTTTCAGCGATTGTACTACTGAGACTGTTTCAAAACTAAGTTTTGAACCCGAAAAGTACTGATCGATAATACTTGTCATTTCATCAATACAAACTGTGCCTATCATTTCATATACTTCCAACACTTTCTGGACGAATAAATAACTGTAAGTCGATCGTACAGAATTTGTACTCGCTTCAAAACATATAACATCGGGTGTTTGATCAAGGTCTCCGAAATCACGAATGAGTAAAAGTTTACTTGTCGAATCGAAGGCTTGAAAGTCGTTTAAGCGTTCACGTTCTGTCAGCCAAAGTACTGATTTCAAGAAGAATTTGAAAGAGTTTGTTGCACTCAAAACTCTAATAGCACTTTTTCCGGCTGCTTTTTTCTTTGCTGTTTGAACGATATGACATATCTTCAGACTTAACTCGTGTTTTAATTCACGTACGCTGACAAAGAAGTTCAGGTTCAAGAAAACAAATTCAGCTATTTGATCACAAATTTTTTGTAAATTTAAAGGTCTGACTGTAGTTGATAAGCAATGTTTAAAAAACGGGAGCATATAATCTACATTTGCTTCAGAAATCAAACCAGTAGAAATGTTGTATTCAAAACAAATTTTTTCCGAAACATGCACTGATAGTGATAGATATTGCATAATATTTGATGAGATATCAAATGACGGACATTCGAATGTTACGGGTATGCATTAATAACAGGTGATATAGAATTCGAGGGAATATACACAGGCAAAACTCTTGGAGGATGAAGCTTTTTCTTCGACACAAAAAGAGAAATAGCATTTTGGCAAGCTTTCAGGATAACACTTTGAATTCCGGAGATATGCAGTATATTGAAGAATATTCTTTAGTGCCATTTTTTTCGAAAAACATACTTAAAATTTTCTGCATTAATCACTAGATTTGATATTCAATGAAGAAACTTCTTTCGGCATTCTTTTTACTTTCTTTCTCTCCAAAGTGATACGATTATCATATACTGTGAATTTTCAGGAGAAATTTTGACTGGTTTAATAGCCCGTTTATCAAGATACACTGTAAGGTTGGAAATTATTTATGGAAAATGCACGGCAAATTTCAAAGAGCACCTATAGAAATTCCTCGAGGATTTTCCAGTTTATAGAAAATCGAATTTTCAACAATCTAGAAAATCGTCATTGAATTTCCATAAATAACTATCAGCATCATGCTGACTTGAACGACGTAAACTTCTTTATAACTATTTTTTCTTATGTCATGACAAAATAAGAACGAACTACAACCGTCTAATTAGCACTCTGTTCGTAGCTTAGTAGGCTAAGCATGAGAAGAATATATTATATATCACATGTTCGCAAGTCCTGTTTAGATTATTTTTTTTTCCACTTGTTTTTTTATACAAAATCTCGGTGGAATTCTAGAGTACCCCGTCTCAAAACATGTACTGTACAAGGTAATCGACTACGGAGAATCCAAATATGCAGTCCGTTTTCGCCGAACTTGTTTCTAAATTTTCTCTCTCAGTTGATATGTATCATATTCGGGATCAGCGTCGAAAACTGAGTCGAACGATGCATGTTTCAAAAGTTTTCGTTGATCTTCATTTTTTAGTAAAAGTCGTAGTAATTTTACGATGTGAAAATTAAAAAAGACGGAAGTACTCCGATGGCATAAAAAAGCAGAAAATGTACGACTGAGTTTTTGACGCTGATTCTGAATATGAAATTTTAACCCTTTACACCCGGCCGTCCCTTCCAAGGGACATTGCTGTAATAGATTTATACAAAGAACGGATCATCAGGCCATAAGTTAGATTATTACTAATGTAGGATAATAGATTAGCCTAACTTTTGATTGAAATTAGAAAAAAAAAAATTTCCATTTTAATCCGATATTTTTGAATTTTAAAATTGAATAAAGTTCAAAAATGAATTTTTTGGCTTTAGATATTTTCTATACTTGTATACAAGTATAGAAAATATCTAAAGCCAAAAAATATCTATAGCCACTAAATCATTTTCTAATTTTGTAGTTAGTAGTTTTGGTTGTATGTATGTACTTTATAATGAAATCAAAGTAGACATTTTTGTAGCATTCTTCTTTGCGTAAAAGCGCTGTGGATTCACTGT